GGGGGGGGGGGGTGGTTGAAACGGTATATGTATATAATTGTCTACTAAATAGGTGAATGTTGTACATAATGCGGAGAATCTGCTTCGGGCACTTGATGTATGGCCGTTCGACTTAAAAACAAAGCATGCTATTTTTATAAGCAATTAGCAGCTGGAATGTTTTTTTTTTGGGCGGGGTTTGGGGTTTTTTTTTTTTTGCCTCAAGATGCAGTACACAAAGAAAGTGTCAATCATGGCGGTCACCCCCCCGTGATGAGGATTTTCAACTCGTGCCATTAAGGTGAAGTCATACTGCGGAAAAGACAATGTGACGTGTTTTGACACCAAGCAAAACGTTTTTTTTGGGGTTTTTTTTTTTTTAAAAAGGTCAAACAGGTTGAATCCGCTTTGAGGCGGAATCTGTGCCTGGATATTGCGGTGTAGTCGTGTTGTTCATTTGATGGATTTTTATCAAAGTAAATGCGATTGGGGCACCATCCATTCATGAACTGGTGCCTTCATTGAAAATAATCAGCATTTTTTTTTTTTAAAACCTCACGACTGTGCGTAGGTCATATATTTTGAACTTGTGCCTTTCCGGATGTGAATTGACTTTTATTTACCGGTGCCTTGAGTGAGAACGACGACGACATCAAAGTCTCCTCTCTGTGTCGCATCCAGCCAAAGTGGACAACATTGACAGATCCTATGTGGATCTAAACACATGAAGCATAGAGATATTTCAAATGAAATAGTGTTTATGTGCATGATTCATTTTTTTTTTCGGGGGTTGGGGGGGCACAAGGTATTTTTTTGGAAAATTGTATATGCTCTGTAAATAATTTTATTTTATTGCACACCGACTCTCTGCATTGCTGAGAGTATCTTCTGCAATCCGTTGTTTGTTTTAGTATATATAAATATATATATAAAATGCATTTTGATTTTTTTTTTTTCCTCTCGCTGTACGACAGTAGTTTGTTTTCGCCTTTGATTGTATATTTGGAGGAAATTTTTGCTCTGTCCATTTTTTTCACGTGGTTTAGACCGACCGACACATCAGAATGATTCGAGTAGGTCGTCGCGAAGCTTCACACACACGGTCTGTAGTTTGTTATCTCTTGCTGGCCAACACTGGGTTCAAGTGTCGGCGACCTGTGAGCAATACTAAGGCGGGGAAGGGGAAAAAAAAAACGTCCATTGGGCTCCGCCTGGACAATCGATGCTCTGATCTCACTGTGCATTTACTGCTGCCATAGAAACACGTGGGGAGGTATTACTTGAACCTTGGAAAGCTTTCCACAGGCCTTTTAAAATTCATCAGCATCGCGACTGAAGGGCCCGCCGGATGGGTACAATCTCCTAAATTAAGAACGTTTCTTTATTTTGACGCCGATTGCTGTTGCCCCCACCCCTCCCCCACAATATGGTTTTGATCGGACCGCAGTGCATCTTTCACGCTGTGGGAATTAAAAGTGAACTATCAATGTTTTTTAATTGTACCCATTCAAAGGGCTTTTTTTTTTTGTATGTGTGGTGCCGTTTCATTAGGAGGAAGAATAAAAAAAAAAATGTGGAAAAAAAACGTCTATTTTTGTGCAATTCATTCCATCCGCAGGCTATCATCGCGCCGACATTCCAATACAAAGATTACATAAAATTTGAACGCGGTTCCGTTTGCCATCTTTGCCATATTTCTAACATGAGCATTCGATGTTCCTCGAGCATTCGGAAATCAGTGTTTGTGTCTCGCTTGCATCCAGCCATGACTTGTAGCACAAACTTGTTAAATTTCCAAACAGGAGATGGACAGGAAGGAGTTCGATAATCGCTCATTGGATTAAACTCAGATCGAGGTCTTGGATTTTGTGTGTGTGTGTCACGCATCTCATTTTATTCATCTCGAAGTGCAACGCCCCAGGAGTCCCTTCCCTGGCGCAATGTGACTCGCATGAGATGTCACCGTCACCAGAGAACATGCTGTAACCGACCTACTCTCCCATTACCCGTGCGCAAGATGACACCGAGCTGAGCTAGCAAGGGGCAAGAGCGGCAGCCCAGATGTCAATTTGTGTAAGGTCGTGACAATGCGCAAACGTCAGGCCCTGCTGCGTTCAAGTCAGAGCGATGGCAAAGTTATTTTCCGGTAAGGTTTGGCGGCGCCCGGCTGGATCTCACGTGTACCCGGAAGCTAAAACGTGCAGTTTTGCCGTGAAAGCTCACGAAAGAGTCACATTGAGATCACCAAATATTTTTTGTTGTGTTGTTTAAAACCAGGCGTGTCAAACTCATTTTTGTGGAGGGCCACATTTTAGTTACCGTTTCCCTTGGAGGGCCGTGAAGACTGAAACTACATAAAGAGAATAACGTTTTATTGAACTATTGTTTCAGTAACTGCAATGGGAGGTTTGGTCACAAGAAAATGCTTGCAATATGTCACTGATTTATTACATGTGAAAATTTGAAATTCTGGTCCAGATTTTAGCAAGCATCTTGGGAGTTGTCATCTTTGATTTGCTTTCGCGGGCCCGTTAAAATGATGCGGCGGGCCAGATCTGGCCCCCGGGCCGTGAGTTTGACACCTGTGTTTTAAATAGTGGCTGACAGTCGGTCTCCGATGAAAACTAGCTGCCGAACCCCGCACGACAGTTCAGTCAGTCAGCGGCGTACCAGGCGAGTGATGTTCAGTTGCGTTTGGATGATGAGGGCATCCCTCAAAAGATTTTTCAGATTTGAGAACCGCTGTTACGTACGCACAAAACTCTCATGTGACCGGCTCTCCCTAAAAAGGTGAACTGCATTCGGCGAGCCAGTCGACTCAATTTTATTTATAGAGCGCTTTAAAGACAACCACAGCTGCATCCAAAGAGCTATACACGGAGCGGCTAGCAGACAAAACTAGCGAGAGTTGTAAAAGGAAATATGTGCCATGGTTTTCTCCACGTTGAAAAGCAGTACCACGAAAAAAATGAATAAAAAATGGCTCATGAGCTAGACAGAAGACCATCAGGCAGTGCTTTGTCAAATCCTTGGGCTGTTCCTGAGTTATGAACCAACTTCTGCAAGGCAAAGTGCTTTCAACTCCGTGATAAAACCGCATCCTCCATAAAACCAGGGATGAGAATTTCGCCACCTCGCAAAAATCTCCGAGCCCATGTGCCGCAAGCGCGGCCGGCCGCACCTGTTGCCGCGGCGGCGGACGATGCCAACGCTTTCGAATCACCTCACATATTAAATTAGCATGACCTATATTCCCCAAATCTTGGCTGCTTCGTGTGTGACAGCTGCCCAGCGAGGGGAAATGCCTCGGCGGGTCATCTTGACTTACTTGGATGCCCGATTTGCCAAAAGTTTTGGCACAACTGGTCATCATAATGACAGGAAAAGAAAATGGAAGAAAAAAACTAATAATAAAAATAATATAGCGTTGGCCCTGAAAGACTTTATGGAAGTTGGAGACCTAATTGGTTTGGCCCACTTGCGAATATTCAACAGCTTCTCGATAGTGTCACTGTTTGCATCAAAAATGTGCTATTCGGCGTCATCTGTGAATGCAGGTCACATGTCGCTAAAAGGGGTTTTGTCATAAATCTGTTCTAGACGGCGTCAACCTTCAGATATTAATATGCAGCTTTGTTCTTCCATTTCCACATCGTCAGCGCATCTCTGGGGATATCCGACTTCCTTACTGACGCGCGGCCTGAACGCGCCAAAAACGCACGCATAATATATCGTGGATTGCTAAGTCATCGCACCAGACACATTTTGCGCACCGTAAAACTGAATTTCAGTTCTGATTATTTTTAATACAAATGAAACCTACAATCATTGAAACTTTTTTTTTTTTTTCCCTATTATCTTTCACGCAAGAGAAAATTCGGTGAAAAATTTGATTGGTAGTATTGATTTTAAAAACAGGAACAATTTAATGGATACATCATTAATTTTAAATCATTGTTAGGTTGAATTTGTACTGCAAATAAATGTGCCTTAAAAAATAATAATAATAATCTCAGGACATGCTGACATGTCACAGGGGGAAAGTAAACAGTTGCTACGTTCTGGCTTCAATTTGGAGAGAAAAAAAATCATTTTGCGATGAGGCTTCAGGATTTTGTCTACTGATGAAAAATGATTTACTGTCCATTCATTTGGATTTCTGATGAACTAAGTACGTGACTGAATCTCATCTTACCTGAAGAGCAGCAGTATCAAGTCCTGGGTGGGAAATTTCCAGCTGGTCCAGTTTCAAAATGACCTCTTCAGCGTACCGCGACAAAAGTGAACCGAATAAATCGCGACATTCGTGAAACAAAAAACCAAATGGCTCAACGACTCACCTGCCAACCTTAAGTTACATTCAGATATTTAAGCTCTCCAAAAGGATGAGCCCGGAGGCGATTTACAACTGTTCCCATCAGCAACAAATTCATTTTTAAAGCATGACATTGCAAAAATCCGATTTAGTGTCAAGAGAAAATAGGCATGCACTTTTTGTATGTATGTGTGCGTGCAAGAGAGATTACATAAGGTGCAAGCTTCTGGTGAGCTCACATCTCCTTCCCTGCATACGTTATGACGGTAAAAGGGGGGTCACATGACACACGCGTACATACGTGCGCGCCAACGCCTGCCTAAAACGTACGCAGGACGGTGACAAATATATTGCTCGGCGCTGGGGGAACCGGTTAAGGATGTTTCATGTTGCGGTAAGCGACTCCAAAAGACTACATGAGGTGTCTCGATGATATTTGTGTTGTTGATGTTTATATTCTGGCCTTGTTTTATGAGGTTAACGAAACAAAACAAGGGGGAGGGGCTTGGGGTGGGGGTGTACTGGCGCTTGTTGCATAACATGATGCTCAACAGAGCTAAGCTGGACCGTACCTGCAGTCCATTCAGAATGCGATTCGGTTGCCAACGTGACTCCAGGTCCTTCTCAGGTACGTGGCAGCTGCTCCGGCTTGGCGGGTGTCAAGAGATCAGAGCCTCGGGGTTGGATGTGGCGCGCCGCGCTGTGAGGAGCCGCCAAGCCGCACACCGAAAGGGGGAACATGTCGACACTGTGAGAGAAACAGCGTTTTACCGTGAGGGGGTAAACCTTGCCGACCCGAGGGTACGTACACAAGAGGGTCGTCTTGACCCCCCCACTAGAAGAGTGTCAGAGCAGCAAAAATAGAAATAGCGCATGTGAAGCGTCACTTCTTAAAAACACAGTTATATAATAAACAGTGATGTGTTCAGGTATCGCAGTTGGCGATAAAGTGAAGCGTGCTGCGATACGCGGAACCAAACGTACAGACTGTCAGCAGGGGTATTTAAAGGTCAACATAATCAAGTACAGATAAAAACGCAGCAGAGACCAGATGTCTTTTTTTTTGCCTTCAGACAATTTTGTTTTGTTTATGTACTTGGAACATCAGACAGTTTCGTTTCTGATCCCGTACAGTTAGAAACTTGAGGGGATCTCCACGGTCTCTTGTGCGCATGAGAAAGAAAGAAAAAAAATCCCCTGTTTTTTTTTTTTTTTTTAGATGTAGATGTAGAGAGAGAATAGTAGTAAGCTGGAAATGGAGCCCTGAGGAACTCCATTGCAAATATTGAGCCATTTGGATATAAGCCCATCAAACTGAACACATTGTAGTCTTTCAAACAAGCAGTTCAACCCCCCCACCCCCACCTCCCAAGTTCATAGTTATTCAAATAATTTTCTTCTGTATTTATAATGAAAAAAAAATTCACTACATTTCAGATGATCATACGATTGCTTATTATGTCAACGTGACTTTTCTAATTTATATCCATTTATTTATACAACAAATGTGACTTTACTTTTGGGTAATGTTTTGTCGCCCTCCTTGCACTGCCGACATTTCGATGTTGCTTACCGTGTTATTTCCTGTTTAGCGGATAAGATCTATAGAGGGCAAAAACGCGTGTGTGACTCATGCATACTTTCTTTTAAATCACAATCGTTATGCTGGTAATCATCGCTCGAGTAACACATTGTTCTGAGTGAGTGAAACTATTGTCGGACGTGATCATTTCAAGAGGGAAGGTTACAGGATGACCGAGCGACCGTTTCCGAATACCGGACAAATATGGCTCATTGACAATGTGCAGTTTGTCCTCATTTCCACTTCCTACGACTGCACAGACAGGTTGAATTCGATCCGCTGTACGGTAGCAACGATAACACTCATCGACAGTCTACGGGTATGAAGAGAACGTGTCATAAAGCTATTAAAGGCTGCGGCGGAACTTTTACAACCTGGCACACATCCGTCTGTGACGAGTAACATCATAACCCTCCACGACGGTGCACGTCAATCATCGGTTGCGCGAGTGGCAGAACGACACGCAAAACAATATAATTGGAAATTCCTAAACGTAGGGTCGGGATTTAAACTGTCATTTAAAAAGGCTTACCTGGGTTCTTTTAATAAAACCAACAATCATAGCCGGGAAGAAATATGGACATTGTTGTACAAGTGGGATCAACGAAATAAGTTTGGGATGGAATTCATAATAAAATCTTCATACAATACAATACATTCCAGTCTGGCTTCAAAATAAAAAGTAAGAGTACAGCACTTTGAACTTATGTTTACGCAGCTGTTGGGGCCCCTTGCGGTCTACCCTCAAGGTGAGTCGATCAATCCTGAGTCAATTGGAGTGGTGAATAGTGCATAACATGCTTCATTTTGTTTCCAATACTTCTTCGGTACTTTCTGACTTGCAGTTCTGTACACACAAGAATGCATAATTCCTTGAGCTCCGGAATATTTGCAGACGAATTTCTCCCGGGGGGCCTGTCTGGGTACACATTAGGATAGTCATGCTGGTGTTCGGCGGGTTGTTTTGTACACTTACCCCGCAAGTGAAATCATACAAATCGAGTCGACTGATCTCGAGAGGAAAGGATTTCACAGATGAATAAAGTTTTTTCTTTTAAAAACCTTAAAGGCAAATCCCACGAAAAAATGGGATTTAATGTTATCAAAAAAACACATTTTTCCGATGTGACTTTTTTTTTTTTTTTTAACTCGTTGAAGGCCTGAAGCAGCAGTCAGACATAAGGGGAGCCGGGAAAGAGCATGTTGCCCAAATTTCTTTCAGTTTAATTCCAGTTAATCAGAAAGCCAGCTCACTCTAGGCAGGGTATAGGTCGCCATGGTAACCAGCTATTTAAGACCATGTTCAATTGAGAGCCAGTCAAAAGCAATCTGATCTATCATAATGCTTTTATATTTTGTGTGCATGAGTCTTGTTTTTTTTTTTTTTTCTCCGTGCTGCCATGTCGCTTGCTGGATGAGACCTTTTATAATGCTTCCAAGACGAAGGTGAGCTGGGAAACCAAAGACACGGCGGAGCAGAACATGCTGAGGGCCGCAGGCTTGCATAACAGCAAGGTCGCCGCTAGTCACAGATAAAAATATGGAAAGAAATGTCTGCAAACAAACTGCCACCCCTGACAAGCAATTGTTCCGAAAAAAATAAAATAAAAAAAAATCGAAATTAAAGCCAACTCAAAGTGAATTTTCAGGCTGACGTGACTTCTACTATTTTTTACTTCATGAGAGATAAAAAGAAGTTGAATTATGTCAAGTGACCTTGGGTTTGTTAAATAATAAAACAAACAAAAAAAAACTATTGACGACTTTCGGATGAAAAAAAAATACATAAAATCAATTGAGTGTGGGTACCAGATGAGTAAAATGAAACCCAAGTACCGAGTATGATAAAATGGCTGAGGGGACGCTTGTGCAATAAATGTGCCGCACTGAGCGACTCCTTTTCGAACCCAAATAAAGTAAAACTGGACATATTGGAGAAGCCTTTTATGATAGACAGCCTGAGGCACACAAAAAGTGTCGCACTGCGTAAAAAAAAAAATGGTGGTCACGACAGATACTGGCTGACTATGTTCTGCTCGATATGCCACACCTGTGAGACGGATCAATTTTTTTTTTTTTTGTATCTTCTTGACTACGGGTAGTTCACATTTGTCCACTGTGGAGGACATTTGTAAAGCTGATCATCTCCCACCCGCTGCCTACAATTAAAATTAGATCCTTCTGCGTTCGACGGAGGACATTGCTTGGCGGGCTTTGGCATTTTTCGATTACATCATGAAAGAAAATGGCTTCTGTCCGCGCAAGTATATTCAATGGGAACATGAAAAGTAAGTGTGCATTACTTTTTGGCATTATTTTCTATGTCTCAGACTCTTAAAAACGCATTAAAATGTTGTCGGAATTATTTTAACTGGATTAATTGTGATGTGTTTAAAATATTTCCTTTTTTAAACTCATTCACTCCCAAAGACGTTTTTAAACGTCTTTTCAGACTTGGTCCAGAATTGGCTGGTACTGAATGAGTTAATTTTTTTTTTTTTTTCAGCCGCATTCAAATTCATAGGCTGCGTCCTCCAAAAGCCAAATTTGTCGGCCACACGGGTGTCTAAATTAACGCGGCCTTCAAATCTGGCCTTTGTTTCCGGTTTGCGAGCAGCCGACAACTAAACTACTACACAGGAAGTGCAGTTGTTCAGTATAGACCGCTCTCGTAAGCGGTGCAAACATCCCGTCTCAATTGTTTTCGATTTATTTATATATATTTTTTAAATTCTATTACAGCATTTAGGTTTTGTTGCGACCAAAATGGGCTTCTTATCAGCCCGGATGGCAGTGAAATGTAAAGCGTAGGCGTAGGAGAAAGCTCAGTCAGAGTCTGCAAGACTGTGCAATGTATCATTGAGCTTCTGGGAAGTGCAACAAAAAAAAAAAAAAGAAACAAACGCGACGAGGTCTCACCTAATGTGGGTCAAGCCGCTTTTTCAACAGGATGTCAGATGCAGTTCCTCGAAGGCGAGATGCACTTCGTGGTGCGCTTGCGCCAAGCTGAAATGAGTTAATTGAAGAACAAGTTAATATATATATTTCTTTTTTTTTTTTCTTTTTTTTTTTTTAAGGAAATGAACTTATGAATAGTTAAACTCTGCTGGTGGTGTTCTTGAAATTCCATCCCAACTGTAATTAAAAATAAATAACGCATTTGGTCTCCGTGATTACGATGACTTCGTTTTACAAAAGGGTTTCGAGAAAATCTTTTTTTAAACTACGGTACTTTTACTTCCTTCTAACTGCTTCCTTATTCTCTCATAAATGTGCGTCCAAATCAAGTTTTGTTCGTCGAAGCTACCCCGAGATGAAAAATACATGAACGGGAATCAGTTAATTTTAATTTCTATTTTTTTTTTTCTTAAGTTACGAGGCACTGGTTGTGATCTTGCCACTTGACCACCTTGCGTAATTTCCACAAAAGCAGGACTGTTCATAGTTTTTGGTGTCAGTATGGGAAGAAAATTGCGTAACATGGCGTCAAGCGGGGGGAATTGTGCTGCATCCAATCTTTGGATCGAAAGAATATAGTTAGCGGCGGCGAAAGTTGCATAACGCAGCGCCGGCAGGAACGCGGCGTCTCCGATTTTCCGTGTGCGTAAGAAGTGCAGGTTCGCGTGCACACGAGAAGTCAATCAGTCAAAACGTCCCGTCGTCTCGCTTGTGCGTCGAATGCCTGAACGCCGGCATACAAAACAAACTGCGGTCAGAGAGTAATTTTCCAGAATCGCAGGAGTGTAGCGAGTGATCTGTTCAAGAGTCATTGCTCGTGGAAAAGAAAATCTACGGTAAAAATGCAATTAAAAAAATGTTCGGGGGCGGGGGGGTACGCACAAAAATTAATACATCTCAATAATGATATTAGGCAATCAATTTCCAGGATGCGTCGGATTGACTGAATCACTGGCCAACGCAAGGGTCACCGAGGATGCTGAGCAATCATGGAAAGTCCAGAAAAACCGCAGGATCTTCAATCCACTTTCTCCCCACCTCATAATTTAATGATGACCCAACATGAGAAGAATCAAGACAAAGATAACAGCGTTGACTTTTGAGAGTGACAGTGGATCAGTGGGCTGTAGCGGCTGAAATGAGACGTTACGATCAGGAAGTTGATGCCGCCGGGTTACAGTTCACTATTCTCTGTAAAAACCGCAACTTCTCTATTGAGGAGCAATTTTTGGGGCCGACTAGAAACGCAGAAGTCGCTGCAGTAGCTTTTGAGGTCCATTGTTGGTGTTATTGTTTTGATGCCCCAATTTCATTTTTTTTTTAAACTGGGTCATTATTTTTCGCAATGTGAAGATAGGAATATTACAACAACAAAGGAGCCATTTCTGATCATACGGAAGCCATTTTGCATGTACATAAGATTTATTAATAGTCTCCAAAAACCGACTACAATGACATTATAGGCGTTGACTCTAATTAATGGACAGCGTGTCGTATGAGTCAAAAACGTAACATAGGAAACATTTTGTTGCCCCCCCAAAAAGTTCAACGTTTCCTTTCACCTCCTTGAAGTGTCATTTCAGGTTACAAACACTTGAGTAATTTTTTTTTTTTTCGGAACCTATTGGCCAGCTGCTCCTCTCGAGACTTCCGTGTTCAAATCTACTCTTGTTCTTTTGCCAGTTCGAAATAAAATCGGCAACGAGCTGTGTGCACCGGCTCCAAAACTGGACAAAAAAATCTATTTTTGAGAGCCATAATTCTGTAAACAATTTCACCGTTGCAGTGGAATTCATTGAAGATTGGGCTTGCTGTTGTGATTGCAGTGTTGCGCTGGGGGCCTGTTGACAATAATTATAAAAGGGGTCAGCAGTAGAGAAAAGCATCTTTATCGCCAAGGGAAAAATTCCAGCAAATGACATTGCTAGAACATAGAGTGCATATTAAAAGTCTACACACGCCTGTTCAAATGCCAGGATTTTGTTTTTGTTTTTTTTTGGGGGGTGACAAAATCAAGACCATGCTTTATTTGAAAGCATTTTCCACTGCTAATGTGACCTATAACATGCACATCTCAATAAAATAAATAATTTTTGAGATGGCAAGTGAATAAAACTGACTAAGATAATGTACTTGCAAAAGTGTACACACCCTCTCAAACTGTAACTTGACCGTGTTTATAAATAAGCATTTATAAAAGTGCCCAACATTTGTTTTATTTCCTAGCAGGTGCCTGAAGGGTTTTGGTGCTAAGATTCACTGCTGTTTTGAACTTTGAACTGTACATCATTGTTGTGATTCACTTGAGCGTGTTGGTCTTCTGGTGATGAGCAGAGAGCACTTCTGGAATTTTGGCCCAAAGGTTTAGACATTTCATTGGGTCAAAACACATGTGGAAAAAGTGGGTTAATGTCCTTTTTTGTCAGGTTCTAGACCAAACCGAATAATGTTTTTGGATTCCAGAAATGCAGGTCAGACAAGGCGCGATAAAAATATTTACAGAAAAAAACGATAGTCACAAGGAGCCAGGAGAAACGACGCGTAAACAAAAGCACTTGCAAAAGGCAAAGGACTCAGAAAAACCAAGAATAAACACACGAAATGTCAAGAAGCCAATAACGCAAAGCCAAAGCTCAAACGCAATCAGAAAAAAATAAATAAAGATACTTACAAACGAGAGCGACTGTGGAGAGTATCGAGAAATCTCGAAAACTACACTTGAAGCACTACGGCGAACACGGTCAATCATCCGACAAGAGACTAAGCAGCGTGGCAGTCTTTGAATCCAGGGTGGGCTTGACTGGGAAATACTGAACAGGTGGGCCTGCAGGAGGGAAACGCCCTTCACTCCAGCTAGGGTCGAAAACAAAACAGACAGACATGACATTTTTATACAATAAAAACCTGGCATTTGAACAATTGTGAGTACGGTTTTTAGATACACTGTATGTGATTGGCCGTTACTTTTTCTGCAGTGGAGACTATTTTGTACTGTATACTGTTTAGACACGGAAAGAGCCATTTTGAAATTGACACCGAGCCAAATACTGGACATATTTTGGTGCGTCTGTTATTCACCGTCGTGATCGTGACGACTTGGCTTTTCACGGTGTTGCATCCTCTTCCCGCCATCAGGCCTCCCTCCGTCAGTTTGTGTCCTCTCGACCTCCATCTGCGGTCAAAGGAAACTGTCATAGCGAAGGCATGTTGGTGCACTTCCTGTATCGCAATATTACTACATACTGAGACAGGCAGAGACAAGACCAAAGTAGACAGGAACTCTCAGGCGTTATCGCCGGCCGACTAGGCCCGTTACTTGGAAGCTTATCTGTCCCACGAGCAAACATGTGACTGCATCTCATCGTCAACCTGAGGGCCCCCGATGTTGTTACCATGACCAAAGAAAAAAAAAAAAATTAAGCATAGTTTTGTCGTCAAACGGAGCCAACTGGAAACTGGAGACATTTGAATACAATAAACTGCCTTCACAAAAACAATCAAGTTCAGTTTGGATTCTCGCTGTCAGAGCAGAGAAATGAGACAAGCCCCAAACGGAGGTCGTCTCACCAGTGTTCAAGTGAAACGATGCTTTGTCATGATTATACCCTGCATGTTGATGATACAGAGACGTGGCTGATGCGCCAAAAAAGAATAACTACAGGGAAGGGATGAGAAGCTCCCACATCAGAGGCCTGGAGGCTAAAATGAATGCTAAGAAGTCACGAGTCTCGCTGTCTCTCACTCTAAATCGTGTGTGTGTGTGTGTGTGTGTGTGTGTGTGTGTGTGTGTGTGTGTGTGTGTGTGTGTGTGTGTGTGTGAGAGAATCCCCTCTGGGTCACTCCAGCACTATAATTCCAACGCCACAGCCCTGCACTGTAAACTGAATCACCCCCGTGCACCGTCTGCACCCGAAACGTTCTCACCGTTAGCCGTGTTCATGCGGAGCGACTGGAGCCGTCAAACTGAGCTGACCTGACTTTTCAATCTGACGCGGGCCCAATTAAGTCAAAGAGTTGAATAAGGAGAGGACATAGAAAGTGTACACACCTCTGTTGATATGGTAAGTTTAAAAAAAAGAACTTAATCAAGGGTTAAATTAAAAATAAAGTTCAGCTGTTCTCGCAGTCTTTTCCTGCCATTTTTTTTGGTTGCCCTGTAGCAGAAGGTTTTGTGCTCACACTGAAATTTGGAACTGTTCAGCAACCCACTATTAGAGGATATGTGCGTTTGTGCAACACTTTGAAATGACTTCTCTTGGTCTCATTGTTTCCATATCACCAAATCCTGACATTAGAACAGGGGTGTCTAGACTTTTTATATTCACTTTCGCTGTGTACAAAGTGGCCACTTCACCGGGCAGGTGAACATGATAATGGCATCCACTAAACAGCCTTTTAAAGATCATGACACTGTCAGATAAGCTTTCAGTTGTATTTCACTTGTTTTTATGGGTATAATTAACGTGGTAAATGACAACAGAAACGCCTCAGAGCAAAATCCTGGATGCAATCCAAAATGCAATGGGAACCTTTTTCTTATGTAATCCCACTCACTGAAACATCAACACATACCAACTCCTTAGCGAAGGAAAGCAATCATTACATTTAATGACGGTGTAAATGAGAGACGATAAAGGGCATTCTCGATACAGGATGGCATTGCTACTGTTGTGATCAATGAAAACCGACTTGAAATTTTTTTAATTGATGATCGGAAAGGTCTAACAATGCAGGTTAAAAAAAAAAAAACGCAAAAGATTTTTGCACGAAAAATGCAACGAAAGCAATTTTGTTTTTAAATCACTTTTTTTAACAGTGTGACCTTTGACACAGTTCTCCCTCCTTTGTGTCTGGGCTTCACTGTATAAAGCTCCACGGCGGAGGGGAGCGGGGAATCAGCAGGTTCACAGGGCGGCTACAGGGCCATCCCGGGTGAAAAGTTTTCAGAGATTGAGACGGGCGGCCTCCCTCACCCCGCTGGGGCCCCTAAGGCTAACGTGACCCCCCCCCCCTCCCCTTTCCCTCCCTCCCCACCATCCCATTTGTGCTCCTGTCAAAAAGAATGCGCCTGCTAAACCACTTTCCCACCACTAAGAGGATTACTAAGGTAATGCCCGCATATCAAGAGATGCTCTGGCACATTTGGACACAGGGCTAGCTTAATTTAATAACTCATGTAGAAAGCTGGGCGAGATTTGCTGTGCGGCCGCTGGGGCGCCACGCTGGGATATCATTTGGTTGGAGGCTGCGAGTTGAAACGCGGAAGCATTTCTTTTTTACGTGGGTTCCCAGACGTGTAATTTAGTACCGTATTTTCCGCACTATAAGGTACTTCGGAGTATAAGGTGCACCTTCAATGACTGATCTGTTTTAAAACAGTTTTTATATTTAAGGCGCACTGCATTAGAAGGCGCATCGAAGCTACTATAAAGGCTATGGTTGCATTATGCATCCACTAGATGGAGCTACGCTAAAAGGAATACAATACAATACAATGCAGCTTTATTTTTATAGTGCTTTCACAACCACTGCAACAGTAACAAAGCGCTTTACACAACATTTAAAATACTCTGTTCAAGAAATAAGAATATTGATGCATTTATAAGGCGTTAAGGTACTTCGGAGTATAAGGTGCACCTTCAATGACTGATCTGTTTTAAAACAGTTTTTATATTTAAGGCGCACTGCATTAGAAGGCGCATCGAAGCTACTATAAAGGCTATCGTTGCATTATGCATCCACTAGATGGAGCTACGCTAAAAGGAATACAATACAATACAATGCAGCTTTATTTTTATAGTGCTTTCACAACCACTGCAACAGTAACAAAGCGCTTTACACATTTAAAATACTCTGTTCAAGAAATCAGAATATTGATGCATTTATAAGGCGCACTGTCGGTTTTTGAGAAAATTGAATGCTTTTAGGTGCACCTTATAATGCGGAAAATACGGTATTTAAATTTAAAACGTTGCCGTCCTGTCTAAGTAGTACTAGTAGTTATATCAATACCGTGTTAACACTACCACCCACATAAGTGGGCTTTATTTTTGGTATAGAGCACATACTTTGTGACATTTTTGTTCCATATTGTATCGTTAAGATTTCCCTAACGTAAAATACGAAGCGTGGAAGTCAACATGTCAGTTTACCCGCAATGGCTCAAAACACGGCAGCTAATCCCGTGATGCTTGCTTAACTCCATTCACACCTACGTCGCGCGGGCGTGTTTAGTTAACGAATGTTTACGTAGCGGGCCGTGGGATTCAGATCCCATCAGGATCATCCGAGCGTCTGTGTGAGCGTGTGCGTACGTGCGTGAGGGGGAGGGCTGTGCGATGTGACAAGGTTGCCCAAAAGATAACCTACTTCCTCTGTGGCCACTTGTTTGCTTTACAGTCTGATGCCCACCGCCGGCCTCCTTTGTGTCCCTCGTGCCAAAAAAAAAAAAATGGCGGGCGTGTTCCTGTGGCCGGACGCGGAGCCGAAAAACGGAGGCGCGATATGGGGATACAAATTGGCAAAACTGGAATTTTTGTCAGAAATATGTACAATTGTCCAGGTAGTGTTCACGATCTCAAGCTGTACTTAAAAGTACCTTTCTTTCCTCAACATTTTAGCCCGCCCCTTGCGGCGATACAAACCCAACAACCCCTATTATTTTCCTAATAAAGCCCGGAGAGCGTGAGACCTCCCCGCTGTCTATATTGTAACGAAAACACCTCCGGGGAGGCGCAGTGTTCCAAGAACTATCACAGTTGGGGCAGGGTGACTAAGGTTGGAGAGCAAGAAAATCCCTCGCCTTTTGTGCTCGAAGTAGAATGTATTACAGTCTGGGGTTAGTGTGGCGCTGGTGGTTGGTGGGGTTGAAGTGATCGGTGCTGATGCAGCAGGGGGTGGGGGGAGGGGGGGTCTTGGTGGGAGAGAGATATGATATGTTAGGAAGCGTTTATCCGGTCAGCACGGTTATGCAACGTAATTGCAGCCGAGGACGTGATTGGCAGTGAATGGAATCAAAAGGAAGACACGTTCGCTAGCCACACCGTTAGCGTGAATTGAGCACTTGAGGGTGCCGGTGTTGGTTTAACCCTTTCAGGGACAGCTGGTCATTTTATCAGGTTAGAGGTTGTCATTATTGGTGCGTGAAAGGGGTGAGTAGATGTCTGAACCTTGGACTACAGTTTGTTTTCTTTCGGGCAAACTAGATGTCACGAATCCGAGATCCAACCGGGGAAATTGAAGGTGATATCAGTTCTGGACAAAAGTCTTTGTGTGATTTCCAATCATTAGATTTGGCAAAATGACAGCCATGTTTTTTTTTTTGTTTTGTTTTGTTTCATTTTGTCAAAACAAGAACCCGCATGGTGTAATCAGTGTCATATAAATAAATCAAGATATATTTTGATGCACTGTCCTCAAAAAAATTACTAAACTGGAGTTAGCCCACTTGCTGTTTTTTGTGTGTGTGTGTAAATAAATCAAGGATGCTAAAAATTAGAACCATTTACTGTGGCGCAAATCCTAAAAAGACAAAACTGGAAAATGTGTCGAGCGAAAGTTAAGGGGTGGACATTTATAGTAATGCTATTGCTAAAAAAATAATAATAATAATAATTTTAAAATTTTATTTTAAAAATTTTAAATTTTAAAAATATATTTTTTTTTACATTTTTAAATTTTTAAATTAAACTTTGGAATTTAATCTGGTTTCCTATCATAAAGGGATTGGATTGAAAAATAGCAGCCAGACATTTTGTTTCGTGTCTTGACTCCAAATCCTTTGAGAAAAGCTCGCGCTGTACAAATTTAGCATTAACGTCAGCACTGTCACTTACAGAGGACAAAAAACAACAACAACAAAAAAAAAAACTGCTCTATCCCAAATGATTTTTTTGCGGAAGCAAATTTGTTTGAAGCTTCACTGACAATGCAAAGCCACGGCCACACCCATAAAAGTCAGTTGAGCCGCATTGTTGTGCGCCGCCAGCCCTTCGGCTGCCTTCAGCATCCGTGCCTTCTGCATCCACGCGACGTTCGACTGACAGCCTTGTTTCGCCGGGGGAGAGAACGTCAGCACTATTAGCTCTGGCGTGCAGACGCGGCATTTGTGCTGACCCCGTATTGCTCGCAAGGGGATCAGTCACGGGGGAAAAAAAAAAAAAAAATGAAGGCAGAGTTGTTCAAAAAGGGAGTAGCAAAATCTGAACGGGTGGAGAGCTATTGACTTACTCACCTTTTGTGAGTGAGTGAGTCTCTGTAATTGTTTAAATTGCTGCAGTATGTTGATGAGAGGCGACCGGTACCAAGTAGTCTGACCCTGATCCATTTTTTTTTTTTTTAAATCCGATTTCGGTCTCGCAGATAAAGTCTGCAAACAAAAGCCTATACACAGAAATCATACACGTTTGCCGGTTAAACAAAATCAAGAAAAGCTGCAAGGGAGAGAATTGTCCTTGTGTGTTCACTCGGGCGTATGTTTGCTTTAACGTTTACCAATGACCATACGTCACGTAAGAAAGGGGGGGGGGGGGCATGTAAATAATTCATGCTCATCCTGTACATCTTTACTAGACTTCATCGTTACGACTAAATGAGAGGAACAAGATTTTCTGGTTTGGTTATGGTGTCTGCAACAACATACATTATGTAATTGCACAGAGGGGGGTGTCACAGGACGTTGTGACATCATTTCAACATCACCGGGGCTCACGGCCAAGTTTTTCAGTTCTGTGTTGGGATCGGTCGGTCGTAAATATGGCAGATAGAAGAGTATCATCACGCACAAAAATAATTGGGTCATGTCTTCGGGCAGTTAGGCGAGGGACACCCTGAACCGGTTTGCCAGCCAATCGCAGGGCACAAATAGACAGACAACCCATCCGCGCTCACGCTCACACCTTGGGACAATTTGGAGTGTTTCCTTACCTTGTCATGCGTGTTTTTAGAATGTGGGAGAAAACCGGAGTACCCGGAGAAAACCCACGCAGGCAAATGCAAACTCCACACAGGAAGGCCAGAACCGAACCCTGCACCTGTGCACCGTGAGGCCGACGTGCTAGCCGCCTAGAAAAAAAACGTGGGACAAAATCATATCTTTTGAGTTTTGAGAGACAACAAATGGTGCAAATATTGATGAATATTTTTTTTTACATTTGCATAGATTACTACAAAAGCATACACAGGTGACAGTGATACTGCTTTACAGGTCTAACCAGTAAAAAGGCGGTTTTAGTGAAAGGAAAGAAAGGCACTGGCTGGTGGAGTAATAAATAGAAATCTTTTTTGGGCGGTGTGGGGCAGTGAAGAATTGTTCTTCAGATCGCTGCTTGTTGTTAAACAAGTCATAGCAAAAAAAACAAAAAAAAATAAAATAAAAAAATCATTCGTACGACTGCTCATGTCTCGAAAAGCTTTTAAGTTGGCTCACTCGATTCTCAAGGATCCACTTGATCGCATTTTCATTTTTACAATGATGATTTTCGCCCGCGGCTTTAGCACGAGCCGCCTTTTTTTTTCTGCGGAAATGCCAGTTGATAATTAACCCCCCCTGTTTTACAGTCTTCGATTGCATCAATAAGAAACCAGAAACCGGAGTCATGGAAGCTTTCCAGACACCTGAGGAGCAGAGGAGAGTGTGTGAATGGGGATCAGAATAACCGATGTCACATGACAGCGTTTGTGTGTAATCTGCTTGTGACTGGGAGGTCTGCTTTGAAGGGGGGGGGGGTAAGGGGGAGCTAATGTGTTTGAGGGGGGAGCGGAGGGGGGGTGTAACCTAATTCTCATTTAAGGAAATCCAACTCCACCGAAAGCTCTTGTCCAATTTCTCCGATAACAATGAAAACTCATTCAGTATCAGCCAGTTCTAGACCAAGTCTGAAAAGACGTTTAAAAACGTCTTTGGGAGCTGAATGAGTTTGAAACGGGGAATCCAATTGTTTTTCCTTCAAAATTGCGATTGCGGTTTCATACGCGACGAGGTGTCATGATCTTCTTCCCATGTAAAGCAGCAAAGAGAGCAGCGTAGGTTCGTTAGGATTGCAAAAAAAAAAAAAAAAAAATGTCACAATTTAACAACTTCACATTTGGCTTTGAATGGCCTTAACTGAACCCGAAAGAAATTTACAGATCCGAATGATGAAGTTCTCCCGCCCCCCCCACGGCCCTCCCCCCCGCCCATGATTTCAACACATGAACATCATTGTGTAAAAGTACACTCCAGCATTCCGATCATTTTCCCAAAAGGGGAGTGTCTCCAGGTCACAGTGTGTTCTGTTTGTATACAGAAGCGACGTCATCAGCCGTGCGTAAAGCGCCTCCTCCCCTTCTTCCGAGCCCAGTCGCCGCCCCCCCTCCTTTTTTTTTACCCCCTCCTTCCTCACCCTCCCGCCTCCTCCACTGTTTCGAGGCGGCTGATGCAATGCTTTATAAAAGGGTGACTCCACATCCCTCGCTTTAGCGGAACACTCATGCCTTTTCGGTGCGCAACGTATTTTTTGGTGGGGAAATTGGGTTAGATTTAAAAACCTCAGTTTCCACTGTGTTTTCGAAGAGTCCATTTTTTGCGATTCGCTTTGTTTTTATTTGTGTTGTCTTGTCAATTTTTTTCTGTTTGTAACCTAACATACAGATTTTTTTCTGTTTGTTTTCAATTGATTTTTGTTTTCCAAGGATCAGACAGCTTTTGGAGTCTTTTTTTTGGTGTCAGCCGGATTTTTTATTTTTTTGGAAAGGGATTTTACAGGCGTCCTGTCATCTTCGCTCAGAAGGTAAGAATGCCGGCATGCCATGCGTCTAACAGGAAGAAAAGCCGGAGGAAGAAAGACGCCGGTTTAAAATATTCATGAGGTCAAATGTTTTTAATAACAAACTCATTCACTGATACTGTCGGTTTACTTTTCAGTCATTATTATTATTTCATTTTTGCATAATTTTGAATGAGACCAGTGAGGAAAAATTGGATTTCCCATTTGAATCCCTTTCATGTATTACTCGGTCAACAAATTATTTTTTTTTTAAAAAAAAAACGTCTGTGATTCTGCGGTGTTCGAATGATGACACACTCTGCAGACATGACTTAATACGCGGTATATGATGCATGCTCGGAAAAAAAAAAAAAAAAAAGGTTGTGGTTTTTCAAGTGGGTGGGAAGAAAAAAAAAAAGAAAAAGGACGAGGGCCATGCCCATAAAAAGGGACAACACGTGCCATTGTTTCCATTGGAGTCGGTCATTCCACGTAATGTGATTAAAATGATCTGGGCGCACGGTTTGTGGCCTATTTGGGTGGGTTGCGCGTCTGGGCACTTTGAAAAACTAATTATAGAATTTGTCCTATTCTGAAGATGAAATTAACTTGATTGGTTGAGTCACCACGTTGCAATTTGCATCGGGATGATGTGCTGAAAAGGATTTGACACGCCCTGGAATGTTTTAAAAAAAAATATATATATTTTTTTGGGGTCATGCTTTCAAATTCATTTTGCGCAAAAAAAAAAAATAAATAAATAATCTACACTGCGGCTTTTTGTCATTGAGCGGGCTGAGGTGAACTCAGATGCCGGTCTGGTATTTTTCCACTGCCTGCCGGT